TTCCCGCTGGACGGCCTTAAACATTTGCCCGCAGCCACACGCATGGTCTGCAGCTCTCTGTCGCTCACACCGTGGACCTCGGACCCGTAAAGCAGACCAGGTAAAGGACCAGACACAAACAACTTGGTAGCAGACCTTCCCAGGAACCGTTTTTGTCGGGCAATACGTCGAACTCTGGTTTGAAAACTTTGGCTCGGCGACGCTGCTTGGGGTTACGACCTCGATACCTCCGAGTCTTGCCAGCAGTGTCATCGATCCCAAGATTGACAGCGGTGCTACTGGTACCTGATCCAGCGTACTTACCGAGCCACTCCTGCAAACATCTTCCAAGCTTGGGGCAACTGGCAATGACCCCCGCTTTGTCGGGCGCAACTTCACAATGCAGCTCATCCACCACTGCCTTAAATACTGCGGCCGAGCCGTGCTTCAAACCTCGCAACACATCTTTGAACTTACCTGTGGCAATCAACCCGATATCGTCAATGTAGAGGTCGAGCGAGGTAGAGGGGTAAAGAGGAATGGAGGAGAACGAGCGAATGTAGTATATGCGAACAAACGTGGTAGCCATACCACACCCAGCTATCACTCCCCTAATGGCCCTGTAGGGCCCATCGATATAACCAGCAGTGTTGATGAACCTCATAGCCTTGTAGGTGTTGATACATAACTGAGCTATGACTTTAGGAAAATCTTGTTCAATACATCTGGACGCGAGAGCTTCGAGATCGATCAGCTCGTAGAACTTTTACAAATCCCAAAGCACCGAGGCAGCGACGTCCCCTCGCCTGGTGGACATCTCACTGCGAAGGGTCTGGCGCCAGACTACGTCGGAGGCGCTCTGGAAACCGTAGCCACCGAGGAACGATCTCATGTGGGACTCCTCCCACTCCAGCGCATACTGCTTACGTAGTTTCCCCCATATCCTATATAAAGAGGTGAAAATCCCAATAGGACGGAGTCCCCCCATGGGTTTGGGGAGCATGGCCAGCATAACAAGGCGAATCTGAAGAGGCAACGAGGAAGTGACCTCACAGACGGCAAGGATGCAATACAACACTCTGAGGGCCCCGTCACAGGGACTGTTGAAATGACGCATGTGGAAACCGTCCACCGAAACAGCCGATCTACCCGCGTATTCTTTACTGGCAGCCCTAAGCTGCTCAGGAGTAATCCTGGACAAAGGCTCCATGGGAATGAAATCGCAACCCCCAGAAAAATCAGCAACACTCGAGTCAGCAAGCCAGAGCGCCGAGAAACGCTTTCCCTCTGCCTGAAGCAGTGCAAGAGGGTCAGCCACCACCTGGCCGAGAGCCGAAAGCGTCGAGGATGGAACCCAGGCTTCAACAGGTCTCGTCCACAGGTGGGCCGATCTCGCCCCCTGGTCCAAGTCCTTTTGAAGCCATTCCTTCCACGACTGCTCTCCCTCCTGGCGCGAGAGAGTGTAGGCGACCGTAACCGCGGCGTCCAGCCGCTCCTGTAGGCCTGCAGCTCGTACAGGGCCCTGGTCGACATAAGAAATCTCTGACTGGACCTCAGACAGCAAGGGGCCGTGGGGACCAGAGGAGATGTGGTCGCAAATGAATTTAGAGGGGTGGGGAATCGAGGTCGTCCAGTCGGAGGGGTCGTGGACGCCATCATCCATGCGCTCCGAGGCACAACAATGAGGTCGCTTGTCCTGGCGCCACGCACGGAAAGCATGGGCCAGCCACTTGATGATAAACAACTGAGGGTGTCTACACGGACGGTGGTCTCGCTTGTGAATGTCAACCCACCAAGTCTTAGGAACCTCCCCATCTACACCCCATCTTAGGCAGGGTCTTCTGGTACAGCCCGCACAGCTCGCGTTCAGCCTTGTTCGCCCACGCCTGGTAGAGCTTATTCAGCGAGACCACCGAGTCCTTATCCCCCGCACGCGCAGCACAAGGGACAGACTCGGCCATCACTTCTTCTCTCTCCCAGCTCGGCGGACACGGGCAGGGCCCCACAGGCGCGACAGACGGCAAGGGAGGAGGCTTCCTGAAAGCCAACACCTTGAGCTCATACAGTTGTGAGTGGAACTTGATCGTGACAGGGACATGAGGGGGCATGGGGGCACTACGGTCAATCCCAACCGAGCGAACACCTTTAGACAACCCACTAGACACAATAAACTAATCATAGTTTTTCGACCCAGCCTCGGACGTGGAAGTACACGTCGGGCTCCCCGAGGTCGCAAGCTGAGCCTCAAGAGTTTCAACAAATTTAGATTCCCCTAACACCTGCGGTTCCATGTTAAAATCGCCTCCGATCACATAGCCGCTGAGGGTGGAGGAAACGAATCCGCCAATCTTATACATAATGAACTGATTGCTATCCGAGAGTCCCTGGCAGTCGTGGAGGTAACAGCTGACCACCGCAACGGGCTGCTGCCCTCCAAGATTCACGAAAGCTCCGATAGCACGGTACGGGACCAGCTCGCAACCTCCAGGGGGCTCGAAGAGGCCGACGAAATGCCTGCACATGACCGCCACCCCCGCAGAGGTCCCCGTCGTCGACGTAACCTTAGCTGGCAGCGCAAGCATCTTCCACCCGTTCCTTAGAGCCCACTGCTGAGCTTCCGCGATCCGATCCGCTCCCAAATGGTGTCCCTGCAGGAGGACCACATGGGCCGAGGTGGTGAGCAGCCAGTCTTTGGCCGTGTTCCAAGCCGTGCAGTTGCATGACACGACCTCGAGAGCCAAAGATGACAAACTGGCAGCACTGGCTGCCTCAAAAAAATCTGCTGTCCAAAACTGGCCGATTTATAGCCCTGGGGGGGATCGGCGGGGTAGGCTGACACGCCGTAACTCAGAGCACTCCGACAGGAAACGGTCCCGTGGCCCATGCTCGAGTCTTCGGACTCATCAACAAACATGTGATAGATATTGTTGCGCAAGCTGAGCCGAGGTGAACACCGAAGTCTCTGCTCACACTCAGCCCTCACTACGTGAAAGTCTGATCCTGGGGCATGTACTGGCACATGGAAATCCCCCCTCCCGCCAGCGGCGTCAGCCACGCGCGGCAGGGGGGGAAGCCTTAGAAGACGCCTTGGCTGCGACTGCCATGGCCTTCTTTGCCCTGGACCGTACGTCCTCAGGTTCGTCAAGCTCAGCGTCATCTGCTCCTCCGACGGCGACTTCATCAGGAGATACTTGAGGTTGAGCAGCAGCACCAGGCTGATCGCTGCACGGCGGTACCGAACCTGATGCAGAGCTTACCCCCGAGGTTCCCGCTGACGGCTCAGAAAGTTTGTCAGCACCAGCACCAGCTTCAACAAGACCATGCTCGCCACGACGACGCTTTTGCTGAAGCTTACGTATGTGTTCAGCATGAGCCTTCTTGAGTTCACTGGCCTTGTCGATCGCCCCCGAGAACAGGGAGGAGGAGGAGGAGGAGGAGGAGGAGGAGGAGGAGGAGGAGGAGGAGGAGGAGGAGGAGGAGGAGTAGGACCAGTGTAAGCCCAAGACGAATCAATGATGTTGGAATGTACCCTTCATGCAGGCTCCTTCTTCATAGACCCCCAGAAGGGCTCACTTCCTCTGAGGGATTTGCCTTGTTGGGAGACAACCGTTTGAAGACCCTGAAGCGAGCCCAAACACCATTCTCGGGACTCCAACGCCACGAACCAACATGAGTTTTGCGTCTTAACAACCCTGAATCGTGCCAGAACGCCATTCCTGGGAGTTCAGCACCGCGAATCAACGTAACTGATGCGCCCTCACAGTCGTGCGTTTTTCCGCACCATTGCTGGTACGTTGGCCGTAGGAGCCCGTGAAACTTTCCAAATGTTTAAAACGAGTGTGCGCGGCGCTAAGGCGTGTCACTTTGAAAAAGGGCCGCCCTCAATCTGTGAAGCTCTCGCAAATGATTAAGATGAGTGTGCGCGGCGCTAAGGCGAGAACTACATTTTGAAGACGACCCGCCCTCATTCCATGAAAGTCTTGCAAGTATGCAGAAGAATTTGCGCGGCGCGAAGGCGAGGACTAGATGTTGAAAACCACCCGCCCTCCCTAGGTGAATCTCTTGCACATTTTCAAGCGAATGTGCGCGGGCCAAAGGCGAGAGCCACATTTTGAAAGCCACCCGCCCTCGATGGGTGAAGCTCTTGCACAGTTTGAAGCGAATGTGCGCGGGATCGGGGGTTGCCAGGAGGGAAAAAAGCACACAGACACAATGAATCGTCCATTCCCCAGAACAGATGGGAAACTGTGGGAAGTGTGGGGGGAAGACAAACACCCAGAACATATGGGCAACCATGGGGACTCATTTTATGTGTGTATTTATATTTGTGTGTCCTGGGGCCCCTTCAGGTTGGCGCGCAGGCGCGACCCCTTGGAGATCCCTCTCCCTCCTCCTCCTCCTCCTCCTCCTGCTGCTCCTCCTCCTCCTCCTCCTCCTCCTCCTCCTCCTCCTCCTCCTCCTCCTCCTCCTCCCTCTCCTACTCCTCCTCCTTCTCCTCCTCCCCCTACGTGTGATCCGCCGCTGCTCTGCAGAGCTGAACCTGTGCAGACCTCGCCGAGGGCGCGCAGGCCATCCGTCTGCGCTGCCCGACGAGCGAGCCCGCGCCCCAATCGGCCGTGCGCCGCGGGAGCCCCTTTGGGGGCCCGCCCGTCTTTCGGCAGCGCGCCCGGGGGGGGGGGGGGGAGCGAGGAGGAGAGGAGGAGGAGGAGGAGGAGGAGGAGGAGGAGGAGGAGGAGGAGGAGGAGGAGGAGGAGGGGGGTGGAGCGAGGAGGAGCAGGCCTTCTCGGAGGGCGGCGGGGCTTCTCGGAAGCCCTCGGGCCTTCGGAGCAGGTTTCTGGGCCTTCGGAGAGGGCTGAGGGCAAGATGGTTCTCGGGGTGGGAGGGTGGGGCTGGGAGAAACGATCAATTCATCCGTATGGTCGCTGACAGTCGGACCGAGGTGTGAGATCGTGGTCGGTTCGGGGAGGGGTACCCCAAGGTTCTTCGTGCTTGTTGGATGTTTTTTGTGCATCCAGGGGGAGGGTACCCCTGGATGTCCTTCAGTCTGGCCGGCGGAGGGTCTCACACCTCAGGCCTGGCTGTATGCTGAGGGTGCTTGCTGCACAGCCTGACGAGCGAGCATCACGCACCCATACCCATAGGGAGGACGGAGGGGGCTATGGGTGCGTGTTGTCGGATGGTGGTCCCCGCTCTAACGGGAGCCTCCCCCGCGGTCCGACAACCCGCACCCATACCCATGGCAAGTCCTCCTCCCGCCGACCCCCCTATGGGTATGGGTGCGTGTTGTCCGTTCGTCCACAGCCGTGCCATGCATCTTCCCGACCTCTGCCTCCCGGCACGACGGTTCCTGTCTCTGAGGGCCCAGGGCACTTCCCGAGCCCTCCGAGGAGGCCCGGCCCCTCTCCCGGGCGACGGGAGTCTCCGCCCAGCCCCTGCTCCCTGGGAAGCCTTAGGAGTGCCGAAGCGTCCATAGGAATACTTAGGACTCCTTAGGAATCTATAGGAATCCATAGCAGACTCCAGGAATCCCTAGGAACCCCTAGTATTCTTCAAGATCCCTTAGGAATCCTTAGGAATCCCTAGGAATCTTTAGGAATCTTTAGGCCCATCCTGGACCCAAGAGCCGTGCATACGCCCCCCCCGGCCGAGCCAGGAGAGAGCGGCGCAGGCACCGCTGCTGCGCTCTGGGTGGGCCTGGTCAGGGAGCAGGGCATGCGGTGGGGGCCTTCGTCGAGGAGGATGCCCAGGGGGCTTCAGACCCTGGAGGGTCCCTTATCCGATGAGGTCGGCAGTGATGCCCAGGGCCGATCCACGATCGGTGTTCCACCAGCCTGCAGACCCTGGATTCCTTGTCCACTGGTTCCCTCTCCACTGCCCTCGCCGTAGGTCTGGATCTCGTCGCCCCGCTCCCTCTTCCCCGCACGGCGCGCCGCCGACCTGGACGTCGGCAGCCAGGTCCCCGGGCCCGCCCACTTCTCCAGAGCTCGCCCCCCCGCCCCCCCGCCGCCCTTGGGGGGACACATGGAGGAGGAGGAGGAGGAGGAGGAGGAGGAGGAGGAGGAGGAGGAGGAGGAGGAGGAGGAGGGAGGAGGAGGAGGAGGAGGAGGAGGAGGAGGGAGGGAGGAGGAGGAGGTGGAGCTCCGGGGTGCCGGGGGGAGGCCGGGGTCCCGCTCTCGAGAGCCTCCCCGGAGCTCCAGGACGGCCAGGGCGCTCCTCGGGATGTCTGCCGCCCACTTCCGTAGCCCTTTCGGCTCAAGCCATCGTGGCAAAGCTCAAGCAGTTCGCAAGCAGGCGTGGCTGGTCCTCCGCTTCCCCCCTGTGGCGGCTTGCCGAGACCATGCTCCGCCTCTTGCTCGCGCGCTGCGTGCACTTCCAGGAGAGGAGGCAGGCCAAGTCTCTGCTGTTCATCTCGAGCTGGGCCAACGACGCAGACCTCCTCACTGCCTTCGCCTTTGCTTTCGACAAGGACACGTGGCTGACTTGTGAGAAGAAGAACCCGCTGCCGGATTGGCTGGTGGGCGTCACCTGGGGCTGCCTGGGGCTCTCCTGCCTGTGCTACTGGCTCGTCGCCCTGGACGGCATCGGCATGAGAGAATGTTGCATCGCTCGCTGCAAGTGCAGAATCGGTGGGATCTTGATGTTCGACATACTGGCCGATGACGTTGTACAGATTGTACTATCATGTCTCGCCAGTGTCCTTGAGGCCAGCGGTACTTTCACTTTCAACGGTAGCTTGGAACGGCTGCTGCCATGAACCTCACCGCGGCGTTTTTCAGTATCCTCATCAAGCTGGCAGAGGCTTACGAGGAGATGAACGAGAGGGTCTATGACCTGACGTCGAAGGCTTTGAGTTTTGAAAACACGCACATCGGCAACGAAGAGCTGGCAAGCCTCGCAGCGGCGCTCGCAGTCAACCAGGAGGTGGAGCAGCTTGATCTAAGCCGTAACTATATCACCGAGTTGTCCCCGCTGCGCGACGTGCTCGCCAAGAACAAGACGCTGAAGAAATTGTTTTTGTATTACAACTTCCACCTGTGGAGCATCGCGCCCCTCGTGGAGGGGCTGATCCGAGCGGGGACCGCGAGCCGCCTGGAAGTTCTCGACCTCTCGCGTTGTGGCCTCGGCGAGTTCGAAGTGCACCTCCTGGGGCATATGCTGGCCAAGAACTGCAGCCTGCAAGTTTTAGACCTGAGAATGAACGACCACATCACCAGCCTCGAGCCCCTTCATGAAGGGCTGAAGAATAGCAACCTGGCACGGTTAGGGCTCCCCCGCGATGTTTGGTATTCAGACACTGAGTGTGCAAGGCTTCAGGATCTGAGGCCTGGCTTGACGATATGTTGATGAGTCGACGCAGAGCATTGATCCTCGGCTTGGGGGCGGCCCCTGTAACGAGCCCAGGCTGGTCGAGTATAGTTGCAATCGTGCCCTTATTATGTTGATGGCCCAGCCAAGTCGGATCCAATCCGCCAGGTTGGCACGTGCCAGCCAAGTTGGACTTTTCAAGCCGCATCGATGTGATTTCCTCAATCGCGTGGCCGGCGGCGCGAGAGCTGTCCGAACAAAGCACGGGGGCGGTAGCCAAAGCTCCAGGAGACCCCCGTCGAGCGGGCCCCCCCCCTGTCGGACAGCCGATTCAGGCGCGCAGTTGGCGCCGCCGCCTCGAGTGGGCCCCGGGCGCTCGAGGCTCGACCTTTTCCCGCAGGCCCGACCCTTTGCACGGGGGCGGTCTTTTATCGCGTCGCCGGCGGCCCGAGAGCTGCCCGAACAAAGCGCGGGGGCGGCGGCAAAAGCTCCGGGAGACCCCCGTCGAGCGAGCCCGTTTCGGACGCGTCGCAGAGGGCGAGAAAAAAAAATGTCCACCGCCCACTGCGGCGCACAACTCACTGGGATCATCCTCAAAGGGAGCTCCACCTATGGCCGGCCCCGAGGTGCAAGATCGTGGTCGGTTCGGGGAGGGGTACCCTAATGTTCTTCGTGTTTGTTGGATGCTCTTACGCATCCTGGGGGAGGGCACCCTCGAGCGATCTCGCGGTTTGGGGTGTTTTGGCCGGCGGAGGGTCTCATGTTCTTTGAAGGATGTTCTCCTTTCTTGGGTCCGGCCGCACGGCCTCAGTGGGCGCGAGTACATGCTCTACCACTCCCCCTGTGGGCACAACCCTCGCACGCATCGTGCCCCACAGGGAGCTCCACCCACGGCCCCAGGTGTCGACTACACGTCGGAGTGATCTTCCGCTGGCGTGATCTCTGTGGCGGGCTCTCCGAGGCCCCCCCGATCGCCGAGTGCGATGCGGTGATGGCTGCCTGCGCGCTTGGACTCGGCCGCCCTGCGCCCTGTCAGCCCGCGCGCTACAGGCCACTTCCTGCCTGGGTGCACTCCTGCGTGTCGCCGAAGGTGGCGCGACTGGAGGCGCTGTCAGTGTCAAATCCGGCACGCCTCTCACGCGGATCGTGCCCTCGCACCGTTGTGCCCTGTCTATCCCGACCTGTGCAACTCGCATGTCTTTTGGTGTTCTGGGGCCACGTTGCCGTCGGAAGAGTCTTGTGTCCTCCCGGGTGTCCTGTCCAATCAATTCCGACTGTTTGGCATCAGTGGTCGCGTTCGTACGCAGTCTCCGCCAATTTGTCACACCTCTCACACGGATCCTGCCCCTCGGGGAGTTCCCCTTGCGGTCTCAGTGGGCGTGTTCGCACGCGGGCCCCCGCCCATCTCGGCTCACCCCGCGCGTATCTCACAGGGAGCTCAGCGCGCCTTTTGTCAACCTGCTCCGAAGCCCCCATCCGCACCGTCGCACGGCACGCAATTTGTGCCGAGAAGGCCACGGCCTACGCTAATACGCAGCTGCTTAGGGTTGGGACTTTAACAGGCCAGGTTTCCAAGGCTCTGGAGGACTGGGGGTGAGAACCGCCTCATATGCACCGCTCTCCTTGCGGGCCCTTCTTGCGCAGTGTTCCCGAAGCCGTCGCCGTCGTCGCCGTCGTTGTCGTCGTTGTCGTCATCGTCGTCGTCGTCGTCGGTGGTGTCGTCGTTATCGTCGTCGTCGTCGTTGTTGTCGTCGACGTCGTCGTCATCGTCGTCGTCGTTGTTGTCGTCGACGTCGTCGTCGTCGTCATCGTCGTCGTCGTCGCCCCCGCGGCGGCGCGCCAGAACTGGACGCCCCCAAAGCGCCGGGCGCCGCCACCGGGCGCGGCGGGGTCGGGGCGCTTGCCTGGGAGGGGGGTTTGCTCGGAGCCCCCCCGCCAGAGTGCCTCCCACGTCCGCTGCCTCGGGGTCGTGCCCTGGAACCGCGAGGAGCAGTGTCGTTCTCGACCGAGCAGCCCTCACCACAGCATGAGTCAACGGTCGAGCTGAGACTGTGCGCAGACCTGGGCTGAACATGCGCTGCCACAGTCCCGACGCCGAGCCGATGCAGCTGCTTCTGCGCGGTCAGTCGGCGGAAAGCACAAGGAAACGCAGGACAATCATATCCCCCAAGCCAACACATCAATTGCATCAAGGCCCTGGTCGGTGTTCGGACGGGAAACGTTGACAAACATTCATTCGTTTTTTTTTCTGTTGTTTCCAGAATCGAATCGGGGCTTTGATCCAGTTTTTTGTTTCTCCTGGTTTTCATGTTTTCCTTTCTGTGTTGGTTGATTCTCCTGTTTTGTTTGGCTTTCGGCGCCCCCCACCCCACGCTGCTTGCCCTCCCCACTCCCCCTCCAGGGAGGCGCCCTGGCTGGGCGCGCGCGGGGCGGCGGAAACCAGCACAAAAAACGCAATGAACAACATAAGAACCAGACCCCCCAGGCCAACACAAATCAGCGAATTCAAAGCCCCGATTGATTTTGGCAGAACAGTTTTCCCCGTCCGGAAATTCATAGGGGCTTCGATTTCGTTAATCTTGTCCCTGGGGGCCCAAACTTTCATGTTTTTCCTGGTGTTCTGGTTGATTTTGTTGTTTTGTTGGTTTTCCGGCGCCCTCTCCCGCCCAGCGCAGTTTCCCCGCCCCAGGGAGACGCCCCAGCTGGGCGCGGGGTGGCAGAAAACAGCAAAAGCATGGAAATCAGCCAAAACACAAGGAAAAACATGACAATCAGAGCCACCAGGCAAAAATCACCGAAATCAATGCACCGTTTGGTTTTCGGACGGGCAACATTGAACAGCCCTACTTTGGTTTTTCTGCCAGAAACCAGACGGGGCTTTGGTTGCGTTGATTTGTTTTGCCTGGTGGCTCTGGTATTCCTGCTTTTCCATTTGTTTTGGTTTATTGTCCTGTTTACTGGTTTTCGGCGCCCTCTTGCGCGCCCCCCCGCCCATCCCAGGGAGACACCCCAGCTGGGCGCGGGGTGGCAGAAACCGGCAAACATAAGAACACCAACCAAAACTCAAGGAAAACATGAAAATCAGAGCCACCGAGCAAACAAATCAACGAAATCAGAGCAGAGAAGCCAAATAATGTTTAAAGTGGATCAATGTTTCCCGTCCGAGGACCAGTCGGGGCTTTGATTTCGTTGTTTTTGTTGGCTTGGGGCTGTGGTTTCAAATGCTTGTCCTTATGCTTTGGTTGATTTGTCATGTTCAAGTTGGTTTGTGGCACCCTCTCCCCCCCAGCGCCGCCTCCATCTCCCCCCCCATGGGCTGCAACCGACAAAAACAATAAATCCTCTTTTGTCGAAGCATGTGGAAGGCGCTGGCGAAGACGAGCGAACGGGAAGACATGTAATTCAAAACAGCAGCAACGTAATCAGCTTCAGGTGGATGTTGGTGGGGACACCACACACATACACACATATACACATATGTATACATATGTGCTTAGACATACACATGCGTACACACATGCATACATATAGACATACATGAATGCAAACATGCACACCTACCTACCTACCTACCTACCTGCATACATACATACATACATACATACATACATACATACATACATACATACACATACATACATACATACATACATACATACATACATGCATGCATGCATGCATGCATACATACATACATACATGCATGCATGCATACATACATACATACATACATGTATGCATACATACATACATACATACATACATGCACACACAAACACACACATACATGTACGTGCGTATATAGATGTAGATCTAGGCATACACATATACTTATATATACATAGATATGCACGTATCCATACACATATATCCATGTAGGGCGTGGCACCGCAGAGGCCGCGACGGAGCACTGCTGCTCTGAGCCGCGGGAGGTTGCGCCATAGGTCGCTCCATGGTTCTGCCGTGCACAGGTTTCGCCCCTGGCCGCCGAAGTCTAAACGGCATTCTATTGGTTGCGCCATGGGTTGTGCACTTTGCCTCCAGAACTTACTTCGGCCTGCGCATGGTATGGATGCGACCCGGCCAGTCGAGTCAGCCAGTCAGTCAGGTGCCCCCCCTGGCAACAATTTCGGGCTACGCCTGAGATCGCACAGTTGGAGGTCTTGGCGTGCACGGGCGGCGGTGACGTCGAGTCGGGGCACGTGTCCGACGCAACGCAGACTGCAACAACGTGCTCAGTCAATCGATTCTTGCTTCCCGGCAGCAGGAAGAGTTTGTACACGTCGGGTTAACGCTGAGGCTCGGCCAGACGCCAGACCATTTCTCCCACTGGAAGCGGGCGCAGCGCCCGTCAGACGAGGGCGGACGTGAAAGGCGATGTGTGCGTGTGTGTGTGTGTGTGTGTGTGTGTGTGTTTGTGTGTGTGTGTGTGTGTTTGTGTGTGTGTGTGTGTGTGTGTGCGCGTCGCGGAGGCGAAGGCGGCACTTCGGCTTGGCGAGCAGGGGCCCAGGGGGGAGGAGGGGGGATGGACGAGGAAGGAGGCGTGCTGATGCAGGAGGAGAGTGAGGAGTAGACCCCAACGCGAGGACGAAGGGGATGGCAGGCGGGAGCGGCGCTTCCAAGTAGGGCGATGCCGTCGCAGGGGGCAGCAACCGCAGCCTGGGGTCTTCGCAGGGGCCTCAGGAGGGAGCGAGTGGGTATCCGCGCACGCGCCCGAAGTGTGGGCTGAGCTTTGCGAGATTCGGGCGCGCGGAAAAATCTGGACGCCCGAAATGGGTACGGAAAGAATGGGTGCAATGCCCAACAGCAGTTCCTGTTCATTTTGAAAAGGACTCGCTGTCCACGCCGCCGCGGCCTGTGTCCATTCGAGACAGAAGGCCGCCTGCCCAACAGCGGCCGCTGTTGGTTTGAGACAACATGTGTTGTTGGGCATTGTGCCAATTTTTTCCGTACCCATTTCGGGCGTCCAGATCACACGCGCATACATGCGCACGAGCCACAAGCGTGCCATCTTGTGGCAAAAAGTGTGGAGCGGCTCTTTATGTATTCGCGCCGATGCAGTATTTCCGAACACGGCGTAGCAGATCATGGCATGGCCATACATGACATAATTGCGCAACACGATTCGACCAATGCCATCCTAACGAGATGTGGCGTAGCGAGCTTGATAGTATATTTGCACGCTGTGTACGCTTACGACGCCGGGAAAGGAATGGGGGTGGGGGTAGGGTAGGTGGTCGGTGTGTGCCTGTGGGAGAGGTAAGACGCATGTGCATTTAGAGTGCAACTGCGGCTCGATCCATCGTTGTCAATCCCAAAGCAAGTAACGATTGTGTGCGGTCGTCGGAGCCATTTGGTGTTGTCGGGTGCGAGGAAGAGGGGGGGGGGTCGGAGCATATCGGCAGGACGTGCATGTATGCTGCAGGCGTCCAGCTACCAATGGGAGGCCATTCCTCGAGGAAGTTTTTTTTTTTTTTTTTTTTTTTTTTTTTTTTTTTTTTTTTTTTTTTTTTTGTTAAAAAATATATATATATATATAAAACATATATATATATATATGGACGACTCTGATGGCAGAGGCGCCTGAATCCACCTTTTGATCTTGTGATCACTCATCGCTCATCGCTGGTAGCTGAGAAATGCTCGGTCTCCGGCCAGGGTGTCAGTATCGGTAGCCGAGTGTGTCAGTGACTGAAGGGCGCTTCGGGAGATTCAGGGGCCAAGGGGGGTTGACCAGCCTGACTCGGCGCGGTTGTGATCATATGAAGATCTGGCTCAGGGTCTCTCCGCTCCACTCCGGGTCGATGCCGAGCGGCGTAGGACGGCATCTTGCAAGCAGGAGCTGTGCCGCACTGCCAGGTTACCCTTCATGTAGGACCATTTCCCCACCCTCTCCACCACTTGTCGACGTTCCCTTTGTGGGCCCAGGAAACGGCAGGGCCGTTTTTTCACCGTTTCCAAGAAAATATCCCTTGAAAATGGAAACGGCAAAAAAAACGGCGACCGGAAACGGCAGAAAAACGGCTCCAGGATTGGAACCGGAGCCGGAACTGGACCCCTTTTTTGCCTCCTGTCTCCGCTCGTGCATGCTTCCTCGTTTGTCCATTCACCGCAGCCGTTGCCACGAAACCGGTATCTTCTGAACGAGTGCCCGTGTGCTGATAAAACAACGAGTGCGCAGACTTCTGCTGCGTTGCCTTGAGATTGTCTATTCATCTTGGTGTACAACAACGGCGTCGGAACCGGCAGAAAAACGGCAAAACGGAACCGGCAACAAAGACGGCCCTGTCGTTTCCAGGGCCCACTGAGTCTTGAGCCGCGATGAGCTGCTTTCTGTGGGCCCCCGGGCCTGAGACGCGCACCCAGAAGGTGAATCACCTTGAACGTCCGCGCTGGCGCCGCCGCCGCGTCGAGATGGTGCGAGCCAGCTGCGAGAGGAGGAGGAGGAGGAGGAGGAGGAGGAGGAGGAGGAGGAGGAGGAGGAGGAGGAGGAGGAGGAGGAGGAGGAGGAGGAGGAGGAGGAGGAGCAGGAGGAGGAGGACGTTCCCGGCGAGCGGAGCGGGCAGGAAGCTGGAGACCTGCGACAGGTGCGACGGGCGGCACCCCACGCTCCAGTGCCCCCACTTCAAGGGCGAGAGGGACAAGCACAAGGACCCGCCATCCAGGTCTGCGCCTGGGGCGGAGGCGCGTGCCTCCTCCTCCTCCTCCTCCTCCTCCTCCTTCTCCTCCTCCTCTCGCAGCTGGCTCGCACCATCTCGACGCGGCGGCGGCGCCAGCGCGGACGTTCAAGGTGATTCACCTTCTGGGTGCGCGTCTCAGGCCCGGGGGCCCACAGAAAGCAGCTCATCGCGGCTCAAGAGACGGGGGTGAGTGCAAACGGAGGTCAGCCAGAGCGCTGGAGCTTGCAGGATCTGGCAGTGCCAGGGTCGCATTGACCCGGGCTCGGGTGCATTGACCCGGGTCAGCAGATCCCCGAGCTCAGTGTGCGAAGCACCTGCGAGGGATGAGGTCGAGAGCCTGTGAGGATCTCCGAGGGCGGAGGTCGCTCAAGGTTGGCCAGCCCACGCGGTGCCAGAAGCCAGGGCCCACCTCGTCAAGGCAGGAATGGCCGTATCTGAGCGTGCCCGGGCCTGACCTCCGTCCTTGGCGCCGATCCGTTACGTTGCATCTTCGGGGGACCTCGCCTGTCCCCAAAATTGGTGTCTTTTTTGTGCCCGGCGCGGGCTCGATGCAGCCTCGACACGGATTTCGCATGTATTCGACGCGTTTTCGACACGGATTCGACACGGATCCGACGAGGCCGACATGGTCTCACGCCTCATTCGGCGGAGGAGGATGAGGAGGAGGAGGAGGAGGAGGACCAGTGGAAACCCAAGAGTCATCCACGATGTTGGAACTAACCCCCCCTCCAAGTTCCCTTTACACAGGCCCCTGCAACGGTTCATTTCCATTGAAGGAACTGCCTCGCTAGAGGACAACAGCTTGAAGATCCTGAAGCATGCCGAAACATTGTTCTCGGGATTTCAACGCCACGTATCAACCTGACTGCTGCGCTTTGGCGATCCGGAGCCGTGCCAGAACTCCATGTTTGGGTTTGCAACCCAGCGAATCAACATAACTGTTGCGCCCGCATAATCCTGAATCCTTCCAAAACGCCATTTCTGGTACGTTGATCATGGGATTCCGTGAAACTCTTGCACATTTAAAAAACGAATTTGCGCGGCGCTGAGGCGAGAGCCACATTTTGAAAAGGAGCTGCCCTCAATCCGTGAAGCTCTTGCAGATTTTTAACACGACTGTGCGCGGCGCCAGGGCGAGAACCGCATTTTTAAAACGACCCGCCCTCAATCCGTGAAGTTCTCGCATTTTTTTGCAACGAGTGTGCGCGGCGCTCAGGCGCGAGCCACCTTTTGAGCAGGACCCGCCCTCAATCCGTGAAACTCTTGCAAATGTTTAACACGAATGTGCGTGGGGCTAAGGCAAGAACCATATTTTGAAAAGGACCCGCCCTCAATCCGTGAAGCTCTTGCAACAGTTTAAGACGAGTGTGTGCGGCGCTAAAGCGATAGCCACATTTTGAAAACCACCCGCCCTCAATTTGTGAAACTGTTATTCCCCACATGCTTCGTGGGGTTCTGGTTTTCTTCCCTTCCGCGTCTCACCCGCGTCTCCTCCTCCTCCCCCTCCCTCTCCTTCTCTTCCCAGCTGCGCTGCACCCGCGGCTGGAAGAGAAGGAAAGGGAGAGCACGGCAGGCGCGGCACTCTCTCGACACCAGGAGGGTGCGCAGAGGGTGCGGTCTCTATGCGTTGCAGGCGCGCAGGGCACGGCAGGCGTGTGAATTCTCGACACCAGAGGGGGTGCACATGGGGTGCGGTCTCTATGCGTTGCAGGCGCGCAGGACACGGCAGGCGCGGCACTTTCTCGACACCAGGAGGGTGCGCAGAGGGTGCGGTCTCTATGCGTTGCAGGTGCGCAGGGCATGGCAGGCGTGGGAATTCTCGACACCAGAGGGGGTGCACATAGGGTGCGGTCTCTATGCGTTGCAGGCGCGCAGGGCACGGCAGGCGCGGCACTTTCTCGACACCAGGAGGGTGCGCAGGGGGTGCGGTCTCTATGCGTTGGCAGGCGCTCGACACCAGGAGCACAGGGGGTGCGGTCTCCATGCGTTGCAGGCGTTTCTCGGGAGGGTGCGCATTCTCTCAGAGGCACTCGACACCAGAGGGGGTGCACAGGGGGTGCGGTCTCTATGCGTTGCAGGCGCGCAGGGCACGGCAGGCGCGGCATTTTCTCGACACCAGGAGGGTGCGCAGGGGGTGCGGTCTCTATGCGTTGCAGGTGCGCAGGGCATGGCAGGCGTGGGATTCTCGACGCCAGAGGGGGTGCACATCGGGTGCGGTCTCTATGCGTTGCAGGCGCGCAGGGCGCGGCAGGCGTGGGAATTCTCGACACCAGAGAGGGTGCACATCGGGTGCGGTTTCTATGCGTTGCAGGCGCGCAGGGCACGGCAGGCGCGGCATTTTCTCGACACCAGGAGGGTGCGCAGGGGGTGCGGTCTCTATGCGTTGCAGGTGCGCAGGGCATGGCAGGCGTGGGAATTCTCGACACCAGAGGGGGTGCACAGGGGGTGCTGTCTCTATGCGTTGCAGGCGCGCAGGGCACGGCAAGCGCGACACTTTCTCGACACCAGGAGGGTGCGCAGGGGGTGCGGTCTCTATGCGTTGCAGGCGCGCAGGGCGCGGCAGGCGTTGCATTTTCTCGAGGCCAGAGGGAGTGCACAGGGGGTGCGGTATCCATGCGTTGCAGGCGCGCAGGGCACGGCAGGCGCTGCATTTTCTAGACACCAGGAGGGTGCGCAGGGGGTGCGGTCTCTATGCGTTGCAGGCGCGCAGGGCGCGGCAGGCGTGAGAATTCTCGACGCCAGAGGGGGTGAGCATGGGGTGCGGTCTCTATGCGCTGCAGGCGCGCAGGGCACGGCAGGCGCGGCATTTTCTCGACACCAGGAGGGTGCGCAGGGGGTGCGGTCTCTATGCTTTGCAAGCGCGCAGGGCGCGGCAGGCGTTGGAATTCTCGACACCAGAGGGGGTGCACATCGGGTGCGGTCTCTATGCGTTGCAGGCGCGCAGGGCACGGCAGGCGTGGCATTTTCTCGGCACCAGAGGGGGTGCACATGGGGTGCGGTCTCTATGCGTTGCAGGCGCGGGCACGGCAGGCGCGGCATTTTCTCGACACCAGCAGGGTGCGCAGGGGGTGCGGTCTCTATGCGTTGCAGGCGCGCAGGGCGCGGCAGGCGTGGGAATTCTCGACACCAGAGGGGGTGCACATCGGGTGCGGTTTCTATGCGCTGCAGGCGCGCAGGGCGCGACAGGCGCGGCACTTTCTCGACACCAGGAGGGTGCGCAGGGGGTGCGGTCTCTATGCGTTGCAGGTGCGCAGGGCGCGGCAGGCGTGGCGCTTTCTCGACACCACAGGGGGTGCACAGGGGGTGCGGTCTCTATGCGTTGCAGGCGCGCAGGGCACGGCAGGCGCTGCATTTTCTCGACACCAGGAGGGTGCGCAGGGGGTGCGGTCTCTATGCGTTGCAGGCGCGCAGGGCGCGGCAGGCGTGGGAATTCTCGACACCAGAGGGGGTGAACAGGGGGTGCGGTCTCTATGCGTTGCAGGCGCGCAGGGCACGGCAGGCGCGGCATTCTCTCGACACCAGGAGGGTGCGCAGGGGGTGCGGTCTCTATGCGTTGCAGGTGCGCAAGGCATGGCAGGCGTTGGAATTCTCGACACCAGAGGGGCTCACAGGGGGTGCGGTCTCTATGCGTTTCAGGCGCGCAGGGCGCGGCAGGCGTGGCAAAGTCTCGATAACAGAGGGGGGTGCGCGTGGGGTGCGGTCTCTATGCGTTGCAGGCTCGCACGGCGCAGCAGGCGTGTCATTTTCTCGACATCAGAGGGGGCGCGCAGGGAACGGCCACCAACATCATTCCCACATGCTTCTTTTCAGCTATCATCACTCCAGCCATAATATAAGTATGTGGGTTCCTCGGTAGTGTAATTACTTGTTATGCTTCAGAGTCATAAGTGGTGGGGAAGTCTGAGGCGGAACGCCCGGCCCGCCCTAAAAATGGGCTTCGGGGTGCGACAAGGAGGAATGATCTTTAAGGAGGAGGAATGGAGGTGAAGGAAGAGGAGGAGGTGGAGGAGGTGGAGGAGGAGGATCAGTATCAACCCAAGAGCCATCAACGATGTTGGAATTAACCCTCCCTCCAAGCTCCCTCTTCATAGGCACCTGCAACGGTTCATTTCCATTGAGGGAACTGCCTCGTTGGAACACAACCGCTTGAAGATCCTGAAGCATGCCAAAACATTGTTTTCGGGATTTCAGCGCCACGTATCAAACACGATTCTTGGTACGCTGATCGTGGGCATACGAGAAACTCTTGCAAATTTTTAACACGACTGTGCGCGGCGCTACGGCGATAACCGCATTTTGAAAACGACCCGCCTTCAATCCGTGAAACTCTTGCATTTTTGTACAGCGAATGTGCGGGGCGCTTAGGCGAGAGCTACATGTTGAAAAGGAGCCGCCTTCAATCCGTGAAACCCTTGCAAGTGTTTAAGACGAGTGTGCGTGAAACTTTTGCATTTTTCGGAACGAATGTGCGCGTCGCTAAGGCGAGAACTACATGTTGAAAAGGAGCCGCCCTCAATCCGTGACGCTCTTGCAAATGTTTAGACGAATGTGCGCGGCGCTAAGGCGAGATCCACATTTTCAAAACGACCCGCCCTCAATCCGTGAAGCTCTTGCATTTTTAAACGAATGTGCCCGGCGCTAAGGCGAGATCCACATTTTTTGAAAACGACTCGCCCTCAATCTGTGAAATTCTTGCGCATTTTTAGAAAGAACGTGTGCGGCGCTAAGGCGAGAACCGCATTTTTGAAACGACCCGCCCGCATTCCGTGAAACTTGCAATTTTTTACGAAGAATGCGTGCGGCGCTTAAATCGAGAACCGCATTTTGAAAACCACCCGCCCTCCATCTGTGAAGTTGCTGTCACTGTTTAAGCTTCTGAGTCATAAATGGTGGGGTCTCGTCCTAAAAACGCAAGGCGAAACGCAAGGCCCGCCCGAATAACTGCCCTCGGGGTGCGACAGGGATGAGTTATCTATAAGGAGAAGGAATGGGGGAGGAGGAGGAGGAGGAGGAGGAGGAGGAGGAGGAGGAGGAGGAGGAGGAGGAAGGAGGAGGGCCCCCACCGGTGCCGAGGGAGCCGGTGGGTGAGGGCCGCCGCTGCGTGGCCGCGAGCGAGAGCTGCGCGGGCCGCCAGGGCAGCCGCCAGCCCGGCTCCGAGGCTCGTCGCGCGGGGGCAGCGTCATCGAGGGCGGCCAAGAGGGGGAGTTCACCACGCACCAAGCCATCCCAACCCAACCCGAAGTCCCCAATTTGCCCTCCAGTCCCAGTTGGGGGGGGCGTCGGGAACATGGGAAAACACGTATGGAACCTGTACCCCCGCCCAGCCCCAAATTTGGGTCTTCGGGATGGTTTGGGGTAGCCTGGTAGGTAGTCAGGGGTGACGGCTCGGGGGAGGTGGATATCATGGCGTGGGCCATGATTATCTCCCTCCCCCCGAGTCGAAGGTAAACAATAATGCATGCACATAAACTTTCGGAGGTCCGCGTGGATTTTTTTGATCTGCGCTGAGGCCCCTTTGGCCGCGCCTCTGGCGCCGGTGGGGGGTCTGGCGCAGATCCAAGAAATCCGCCCAGACCTTCGAACATTTACGTTTCTCATTTTTTCCTTCTCTTCTATTATTTTCTCTCCTCTTACGTATCATCTCTTAGCATCTCTGTTATTATCATCTCTTATCTTATCTTTTCGCCTCTTAACTTATCATCTCTTCTCTTCTCTTTTCTCCTCTATCCCTCTCTTCTCTTCTCTTCTCTTCTCTTCGCTTCTCTTATCGTCTCTTCTCTTCTCGTCTCTTCTCGTCTCTTTTCTTCTCCTCTCTTCTCTTCTCTTCTCTTCTCTTCTCTTCTCTTCTCTTCTCTTCTCTTCTCTTCTCTTCTCTTCTCTTCTCTTCTCTTCTCTTCTCTTCTCTTCTCTTCTCTTCTCTTCTCTTCTCTTCTCTTCTCTTCTCTTCTCTTCTCTTCTCTTCTCTTCTCTTCTCTTCTCTTCTCTTCTCTTCTCTTCTCTTCTCTTCTCTTCTCTTCTCTTCTCTTCTCTTCTCTTCTCTTCTCTTCTCTTCTCTTCTCTTCTCTTCTCTTCTATTATCTTCTCTTTTTCCCGCTTCTTCTCTTCTCTTGTCTTCTCTGCTCTTCTCCTTTCTTAAATTTTTATATATTCTCTTCTCTGCTCTTCTCTTCTCTTCTCTTCTCTTCTCTTCTCTTCTCTTCTCTTCTCTTCTCTTCTCTTCTCTTGTGGTCTCTTCTCCTCGCTTCGCTTTGCTTCGTGTCTCTTCGCTTATCATCCTTCTTATATCTTCTGCCCCTCCCACTCTTTCTCCAGACCTCTTCGGTGCGGTCACCCCCCCGTCTCCATGTCTCTTGCTCTCTCCCTCTCTTATCCTCTCTTCCCTATCCCTCCCTCCCCACCGCTTGGGCCCGAAGTTCGGCCGCGTAGACGGGACGGCTCGCTTCCAGCCATGTCTTGTTCGGATGGATCTTCGAAGAGGAGGAGGAGGAGGAGGAGGAGGAGGAGGAGGAGGAGGAGGAGGAGGAGGTGGAGGAGGAGGTGGAGGAGGAGGAGGAGGGTCCTCGAAGACAGGCAACCGTAACTTACCATCCTTGTCGCGCTGCCAATCCATGCCTCTGCTCGTCGTCGTCCTTCTCCCCGGGTTCTATCGCTTCGTTCTGCGCTTTGCCGTCGCTTTCGCCGCCTTCCTGCCGTTTCTGCCACGCCGCGCGAGAGAGCTCAGCGGCCTGCTGCGCCGCCGGAGAGCTGGGACACCGTCTTGGTTGACAGGCTCCGGCACCCGCCGAGCCCTTCTAGCTTCAGTTTCCCCTCCCTTTTCTCGATTCGTCCTCCTCTTCCTGCTTCGTCCTTCCTCACGTCGGCGTCGTCGTTGCCGTAGTCGTTTGTGTCCGGTGCCTTACTGTGTTATGCGGCCAGTGCGGCCAGCAGTGTGCCGAGGGCGGTCGTCCCGCAGCTTCTGCCAATGCACTTCCGGCGTGCCTGGCTTCTCTCTTTATGCACCTCCGCAGGGGTGCAACAAATGACCTCGCTTCGCGTCTCGCGGACTTGGCCGGAGGGACGCTGCGAAAAGAGAGCGGCATCGCGAACAATGATGACCGAGGCCCTCGAGACCCGATCTCTCTCTGCGGCAAGTTTTTTCGGGCGGGCGCGATCTGTGGCGGCCCCGGCGTGGAACGACTGCAGCGCCGGGATCTCAGGGCTCGCCTCCCCCCCCGCCATTCCCTTGGCATCGCTCGGAGGTGTGCGTTTTTTCCTCGGCGAGGACCATCGAGGAGCATCCTTGATCATTTGGCGAAAAAAACCACGCACGAAACCGAAAAAAACACAGGGAATGGACGTCCGAGCGATGGCCAGTTCCTCCCTCCCCTCCCCCGAACCTTCGACTCCCGAGGGCATGGACAGAGCCGCGCGTCGCGCACCACGCGCGGGGCGCGAGGCTCAAAAAAAGATCGGGCGACCCGGACTTCGACCCCGGAGCCCTCGCGTCGGCTCCACGTCGGGAGCCCTGAGACGGGGGTCAATGCAAACGGGGGTCAGCCAGGGCACCGGATCCTGCAGGCTCCTGCGAAGACCCCCTCTGGCTGACCCGGGCTAGCTAGCCGCTCGTGGCCGCGAGGCGGCCGCGCCTATTGGCTGACCCAGGTTTGCGAAGATCTGCGTTGCAGTTTTTTTTTCCCCCCCTGCATTGCAGTTTTTGGTTTCCCGCTGACCCGGGTCTGCATTGACCCGGGTCAGAAGATCCCCGACCACGGGGCATGCCAGTCGTGGTGCTTCCAGTCGGCTCTCCAAAGGACCGTGCCCACCCCAGTCCTCTCTCATCAGCGGCGAGCGAGGGGGGGAATCGAGAAGGGGCGGGCCTTCTCAGAAGTCTCGGAATTTCCGCGGCCTTCTGAGAAGTGTCCTGAGCGTTCCCTGGAGACAGACAAAAACTTCTCAGAAGGCGCGAGGGCTTCTGAGACGTCCCGCCGCCTTCTGAGAAGGCCTTCTCCTTCTCATTTCCCCCCCTCGCCCGCCGCCTATCTCAGCAGGTTTTCAGAAGTTTGGCATCCTTCGAAGCAGAACACATGCATACACACAGACCTCTGGAGCTCTGCGCGGATTTCTTGGATCTGCACTGGACTCCCTTGTGGCGCCTCCGGCGCCGCCCCTGGCGCCATGAAGAGGGGCCCAGATTTGATGTAAGAAATCTGCGCGGACCTTCCAAGGCTTATGTGTATAAACTTGTTTCCTTTCTCCAGGGACCTGGCATCGCTCGGTCGTGTGCGTTTTTTCTCGGAGGTAGCCACGAGGAGCACCTGGGATCCTCGTGCGAGAAGCGCAAAGCGCACGACACCGACAATTGCGCGCGGGGACAGGACGTCCGATCGATGGCAAGAGGAGGTTTTCCAGAAGCTTAGCATCCCTGTAGCGACGGCGACGGCGACGGCGACGGCGACGGCGACGACGAGGAGGAGAAGGAGGAGGACGACGACGACGATGACGACGACGACGACGACGAGGACGACGACGACGAGGACGACGACGACGACGACGACGACGCAGCCCTGCCGCCGTGCCTCGCCGTCGCTCCCTGCCGCTTTCGCTTTTCGCGCGGCCGCCGTGCTCTCGCCCCTTCTCTCCCGACGCCCTCCGGCGCGATCTGTGGCAGAAGGCACACCGTGCGGAAAAAAGCGCAGTCCGCCGAAACACCGCAAGCAGTCTGCGCGTATGGTCCATCAGTTTTTTTTTTAAAAACAGCGTGTGTGCTTTTTTTCCAGTCTTCATTCCTCCCCCCTCCCCCCACACAGTGTGTTTTTTTTCAGAGGCGCCGCTGTCCTCTTGCCTTCTCTCCCGACGCCTTCTGGCGCGATCAGGATGCCTGGGTTCACTACGGCGGGAAGGACCGTCGACGAGAAGGAATAGGAGGAGGAGGAGGAGGAGGAGGAGGAGGAGGAGGAGGAGGAGGAGAAGGGTGAATCATGCATAGAAAGCTGATGAGGATGGTGATTATGACAACGGTGGTGAGCAGGAGGAATAGGAAGACCAGGAATGGGCGGAGGCGAAGGAGGAGGAGGAGGAGGAAGTAGTCAATGGCGTGTGATATGCATTCTCATCCTGCCGTCGTGTTTGGGCGTGAAGAGAGTCAATGTGATGCTGCTAGCCTTGTGAATGTTTTAAACCATTCAGGCGTTTAGTACTCGTGGCCGTGGTCACAAACATCAACGGGTGCACATGGAGAACCAAGGAAGCATCCGACTCGGTGCACGGGTATACGGCTAGGTAGCTGTGAGTGCTGACATAGTGAGTTAAGACATTCCTTTGTGATATTAGTCTGTGAGCGCAGATTGCTTTCGGAAGAAGTCTGCACAGCCGTACTCGCGGCATCTCCTGGCCTTTGTGATGAGCAGAGGGCTTCCTGCTGCTGCTGCTGTCACTGCTGCTCCTTCTGATGTACCTCTTCTTACCAGGAAGCTGGATATCGCAGGCCTAGAGGTTGACACCAACACCAAGATCGGCGGTGCGCCTCCACCGAGGGAGGACGATCCCGATCTCGGTGATGGTGGTGATATTCTGGCTTCCAAGGTGGCCGAAATGTTTATTGCCACCAGCACCGAAATCTAGGATCATCGCCCCCCTGTGGAGGCAGCCCCCTGGGCTGGTGTTGGTGCCAATTTCCAGGCCTCCAAGGATGCGCACAGTGTGGCCCGCCTGGGCGAGAGCTGTAATATACTCGCGGCCGCGTGCCCTGACGGCGCTCGTCGCACGTCTGGATCTGTGCGCTGGCCCGCCGCACGGGTCTCTGGCGCGCCGCCTCCAGTGCCCCACGCGCGATTCCCGCCGTGTCTGTGTGTGTGCGTGTGTGTGCCTCCTCCTCCTCCTCCTCCTCCTCCTCCTCCTCCTCCTCCTCCTCCTCCCCCTCCTCCTCCTTCTCCTCCTCCTCCTCCTCCTTGTTAGACAGAGTGAGACAGAGAGAGAGAGAGACAGAGAGACAGAGAGACAAAGAGCGAGAGAGAGAGAGAGAGAGAACGGAAGAGAGAGGCAGCGAGAGTTTCAGCTCCCCGGTGCCGTCGAGCAGCTCTTTCCTCTTTCTTCAGCTCGCCCCACCTCCCTTCGCCCTGGCGCCGCTCCGCCCCCAGCAGGACCCACACTCCATGGGCGGAGACAGCGGCAACTTCGTGCTCAAGCGCGCCCCGCGCCCGCCCCGCCTCTCGGCCAGAACGCCGTCGACACGCGCACGGCCGAGCTCGCTCCCGCAGGGAGGATCCGCAGGTGGCCGCTGGCGGCCGCAGGGCCGTAGGCGCATTCTCCGTCTGTCTGAGCGGTTGGTCAACGCATTCTGGTCCCCACAGAGGCCCCATGTGGGTGCGTCCCAGCGAACACGGCAGCATATTGGGGTTGGAGTTTTCCTCACAGTCCGGGATCGCGAACTGGGTGCTCTACGAAAAGTTGGTAAGGGCGCCCGCAGACTCGTCCCAGCCAGTTTTGGGCAACATTTCGCAAGAATTCCTTCCCTGACAACTTGTGCTTGGTGCCTCAACTAGTCCCCAATGAGGGCGCCCGCGCATCGCGGCTACAGTCATAGGCCAGCCTCGACGAGGACTCTGTCTTTATGTAGAAGACCCCAGGAGGCTACAGGAAGTTCCAGAAGGCACCATGAGTCTCCAGTAGGGCCCAGGAGGCTTTTACGACGATTTTCGAGGCCCCGGGGTGCCCCAGGGTGCTCCTTGAGGCCTTGGGCACCCTCGTCAAGCCCAGAAGGCCCACGAGGCCCCAGGAGGCACTGGGAGGCTGGGAGGGGCTTCGAATCCGCAGGAGGTCCCAGAAGAGCCTGGGATGGCCCAGAGTGGCCCAGGCACCATCGTTCGTGCCGTCCCTCTGGGGCCTCCCTGTCCCGTGGCTTGGCCGCCCCGCGCGCCCCCCCACGGCCTCGCCGCGTGAGTGCGCCCTCCTCTCCCTCCTCCCGCCTCTGCGGCCGCCTCTCGGCTTCTCCCCTCCTCGGGCAGGCGGGGGCATTCGCAAGCCGTCGCCCGGGCTGCCTGGGCGCGCGTGTGGACGGACTGCCTCTGCCGCGCTGCGACGCAACGCAGAGTCTGCTGCAGCTCTGCTCGGGGGGAGCTGCTCGGCCGCTCGGCCGCCGCCGGGGTCCCGGCGGAAGCGAGAGGCTACCGGGGAGCCCCGCGGGGGCCCAGGGCAGGATGCCCAAGCACGGACACTGGGCTTGTGAGGAGCACCGGGCTCGCGCGAGCTTGCAGGCTGTGCGATCGAAGGTCTCGCGCGGGGCCTTTGCGCAGTCATCGGGCCTTTGCGCGAGGTGCCCAAGGACGAGCACTGCTCTTGTGAGGAGCACTGGGTTCACACGAGCTTGCAGGCTGTGCGATCACAGGGCTTGTGCGGGGCCCTGCGCAAGCATCGGGCTTTGTACCAACGTAGGGCTTGCACGCACATCGCGCTGTGTGTGTGTGTGTGTGTGTGACCGCCTCGACGCTGCGCGCGAGGCCGCGACCGCCAAAAGTGTGTGTGTGTGTGTGTGTGTGTGTGTGTGTTGCCTCAGCTGCCTCGTAGGTTACCCATGACCTCGGCTCCCACCGCCCTCCCGGCTCGCATCCGCGGGGCTGGCTTGCCATACCTGCCTCCCCGGGCGTTGCCTTGCGCCTCCTCCCCGCTCTGCCTCCCACTTTGGGCGAGTTGTTCTGGCCCGGGCCGCCTTGTAGGTCACGCTTGACCTCGGCGCCCGGCACGTCTTTCTCCCCGGCCGCCCCCCCCCGCCCCTGCCGTCCTGGCCGGGCGGTCTCGTGCTGCCTCAGTGGCAGTCGCAACCTTGCTTCCCGGGCCTCGCCCGCCGCTCACTGGCTGGTGGGCCGCTGTCCGTCGCTATCCTTTCGCCGGCCTGGTGATGGCCTCGTCCTTGTCGCCGTCCCTGGGCGCCTCGCAGGTCGCATATGATCTCGCCCTTGGGCCGTCTTGCAGTCCTCTTGGGGGCCTCTTGGGCCGTCTTGGGGCAGTCCTGGTGGCTTCTTGGGTCGACTTGGGAAGTCTGACGCTCGAAAAGGCGAGAAACCGAAACACGTGGAAACATCCAGGGAACATCGATGTTGTATGGCTCTCCTGGCCCTCTTGGGAGGGCTCTTGGGGCCATCTTGGGACGCCTCGAAGGCCTCGTGTGCCGTTTTGAAGCCACATTGGGCCGTCTGGAGGCCGACGTGGACCGTCTTGCGGCGATCTTGCGCTGTCTTGGGGGCATCAGGGCCTCGGGAGGGCGACCTGTGTGGTATTTTGCGAAGGATTGTGGCCTCGGGATGGGGCGGCGATGCGCGCAGCTGGGTGCTCCTCCGCCTCCTCTGCCTACTGCTTCTCCTCCTCCTCCGCCTCCTCCTCCTCCTTCTTCTCCTCCCCCTCCTCCCTCTCCTCCTCCTCCTCCTTCTCCTCCTCCTCCTCTTCGTCGTCCTTCTCCTCCTCCTCCTCCTCCTCCTCCTCCTCCTCCTCCTCCTCCTCCTCCTCCCCACGCTGCCGTCGGCGGCGTCGCAGCCCCAACCCCCCGCGCGCCGTGGAGGAATATTTCACGACGGGCTGGGCTCGTCATCCCAGCGCGCCTCGGCGTGCCAGGGGACATGGTGGCGGACATTTCGTGCCTGATCTTTTGGTTTTTTAGAGGAACGGCTCGCCGATGCTGGGAAGCATCCGGGAAGCATCCGGGAATCCGAATGAAGCATCGGGGGCGTTCGGCTGTTGCATCGAGAGGTCTGAAATCGCTTGGGCCGAAAAACTATTCGTTCTCTGCAATTTTTTCGGCATTATATATTGTCAGGAAGCTCTACGAGTCCCCCTGCGGTAAGAAAGGTTGACGGTTTACCGCCGGCGCCCAGTCCGGGAAGCATCCGGGAATCCGAATGGCCCATGCACGCTGGTCGGCAGCGACCCCGACTCACGCCAATGGGGCAGGCACCCTCCCCGAACCTCGTCGTAACGGCACATGTGTGTATGGGTTCGCCTGAAGGCCATGCGCGTAAATGCGTGCAGCAATGTCGTGGAGGCCATTCGCGTTTTTCCCCTACCTAGGCTCTGCCTAGAGGGTTCTTACTCGCTGGGCTTCAAGGGGCCGGGCAGTGTTCCTCGCCCCGGGCGGTTCCCCCGGTCCCCGCCCCGCGGTTCCCCCAGTTGCGCCCCCTAGCTTTAGCTTTAGCTTTAGCATTAGCTTTAGCTTGAATTTTAGCTTTAGCATTAGCTTTAGCTTTAGCTTTAGCTTCAGCTTTAGCTTTAGCTTAGCTTTAGCTTAGCTTGAGCTTAGGTTTAGCTTAGGTTTAGCTTAGCTTTAGCTTAGCTGTAGCTTAGCATTCGTTTAGCTTTAACTTAGCTTTAGCTTAGCTTTAGCTTAGCTTTAGCTTAGCTTTAGCTTAGCTTTAGCTTAGCTTTAGCTTAGCTTTAGTTGAGCTGTAGCTTAGCTTTAGCTTAGATTTAGCTTAGCTTTAGCTTAGCTTTACCGTTACTACTAATGCTGCTTTCCTAGGGGCTCCAACTCCTAGGTCCGGTCGCACTGGGATAATTGTTGTTCCTCTGCGTGCTGTCGCTTTCTGATGGGTGATGCTGCTTAATGCTTCCTGCTGCTGCTGCTGCTGCTGCTGCCTGCGTTTGCTGCCTGCTGCTGCTCACTTATGCTCGCTCCGCTGCTGGCGGAGGGTCTCAGGACTCTTGAGCGAGGTCTTGGGATCTCCAGGGCTGTCGAGTGACGCCTGGGCGGCTTCTCAGGGAACCTTCGGGGTTGTCATCTGGGGTTCGCTGCCTACTCGGGGCGTCTTGGTGCGTCTTGGGGTACTCTTTAGCTCCGAGGGCCATTTCGGAGAGTCTTGGCGCATTCTGTCGGCACCACTGCGCCTGCAGCTTGTCTTGGGTCTTCCGTGCTGGTTCTCGGCCAACGCACGAAGTTGGCCACCTACGAGGTTGCATCCGGATGTTGTGGCGTCCTCAGTGGTCGTGCCTTTTGATAAGCACGGCCAGCCTGCTGCAGTCTCATGGATTTTCCTGCGAGTGTGGCTGACATATGGCCGTAGCTAGGTGGCCCGAGGCACGAGATGAAAGCAGCCATCAGCATATCCATTTTGCGGTCAGATGCGCGTAGTAGGAGGAAGTGAAGGTACGAGGAGGGAGACGGAGAGGAGGAGAATATGGAGAGGGGTGGCGAGGAGTAGGATGCCGAGGAGGAGGAGGAGGAGGAGGAGGAAGCGGAGGAGACGAGGAGAAAGGTGAAGATGGGGACAGGGAGGATGTCTTTCGCGGGCGCACCCTTACTGCCATCCAGTAGAGGATGGTGGAAGCTGCTGGGACAGTGGTGCGCGGCAGAGTAGCACCAACGTAGCATCGCCTCCATTCCCCGCGTCTCTGTAGACCTATCAGCCCAGCTGAAGACGAAGAGGGGGGAACAGACAGGCATCCGGGATCTTCATTGCACGATGTTGCTTGCGGCCGCAACGTCGCCCCCTTTGGCATAAAAAGCCCGTGGGGATCCTTGTCGATATACCGTCCCCTACAGCCCTCTTCGGAACTCTTCAGCCATGGTTGAACATTGTCAAACGGATAACCCTGCAACGATGCGGGCGTGCATGTCACACTGTGCAAGGACAGGTGCCGTTTTGGCTAGGCATTGATCTGAGTCGAGGACTTCGGTGAGGTTGACAGCGTGATGGTGCACAACTTTAGCTCCTCCTCTGCAGTGTACTGAGAGGTGCGGTACCAATACAACTTGTTTCTTTCACTGAGCGCCTAGTTGAGTGGGTTGCGTTTCTCTTGGAAGTGCCAGCGACGCGATCGCGCACTTTTCCCTCCTGTCCATCGGCTTCCCGCAGGCAAGCAGATGTGGTACGGCAGCCTGGCGATGGCAGCTGCCTCTTCCACTCGCTTAACTATTGCATGAACAAGTGCAGTGGTGTAAATGGTGCAGCCTCGCGTCTTTTCCCCCCCTTGCGGCCTCCCATCGCAATCCGTCCACTTTTGCCCATGACCCATTCCGTGTGGGTTAGAGAGTTGGTTCAGGAATAATGGCAGGTGTCCATGCATTAGTGCGCGCCGCTTGTACGTCTCGACTGGGTGCCCGTCTGTGGGGTTACGTTGTAGATATGGTTTGCGGGATGTACTTGGCCCCTCGGGGAGAGAGAGAGAGAGAGAGAGAGAGAGAAAGAATGAGAGAGAGAGAGAGAAAGAGAGAGAGAGAGAGATATATATATATATATATATATATATATATATAGAGAGGTAACAATCGAGAGGGAGAGGGTTTATATACACGTTCATGTGTAGACAGGGAGATGGTGGGGCTATGCCACACAGGGGGTACAACACCGACATAAGGTCAATGTTGACATGTATGGCCGCGCATATGCACTCCAACAGGCCTACTATACATGCTGCAAGATGAGTGCGCGTAGACATGCATGGGCTCCTACGCATGCTGCTGCATGAGTGTGTACAGACAGTCATTAAGCATTCCGTCGCTGGTATTGTCTTCCTGCGTGTTTTCTTCGGCCTGCTGTTGCTACTTCTGGACATGTGTTGCGCTGGGCTTCCGCGGCTCGTGGTAAGTTACAACTGCAAGCTGTTGTGCAATATTTCTGAGTGTTGTGCTTCAGTGGCAGCAGCGCTCGTGAGCACAGGCCGCCGTCTTGACCTTCCAGAGTTGGGCAATGTCTACTACGCAAACGTGTTAACTCATTTGCGTGCTGTCAGCAGGTGCTCCCTAGCTTTGCATCCACGCGTGCACAAATAGTACTACCATCCAGCTTTTTCTGGATCGCGCTGTCGATGCGTCTGCACTGCCATACGTCAGTACTTCCATGCACACATCCATGCATCCGTGTATCCCTGCGCACAACACGCCCAGACATCCGCACGGTTTCCGTGCAGCCACGCGCATCCACAACCGCCGCCCTGCGTGCTCTCTCCTGGGGGAGCCTGGCGTGCACGCGACGGTCCCACCGGACTACCTACTCACGACTGTGAGCCGCCCCCCCCTCTCCAACGGGCTGACTGTACTGGGTCCGCCTGGGACGCGACCTCAGAATGGAGAATG